GTGTCCCTTTGTGACTCCTTGGACTGCAGCACTCCACGCTTCCCTGTCCATCCCATACCTTAGTAAATGAAAATTTCTCTGGTCACTTTTCTCTTCAGATATTTTTATGATACCTAAAATGAATTGAATACATCTGTGTATACAGAGTGAGAAATATTTCTGTAATAGGGGTAGGGCAGGCCCTAGCTAAAGCAGTCCCACTAAGCCATTGGTTTCAGGGGTGCAGTGAACCCCTTCACCTCTTCTGTATAAAAGTAACCTGAGTCCAGACTGAGGGAAGATGGTTTTCTTGAGATGCCAGCCTGCCATCTTCTGGGTCTGCTAGCTTTCTGAATAAAGTCGTCATTCCTTGTTTCAACAATGTCTTCGTTGTCTTCCAGTTTATTGGCCTGTAATACAGTGAGCAGAGCAAGCTTGGGCCCCATAACATGTCTTATAAAAAAGTGTTACTCACTGGGTTAGACACAAAAACTAATTGTAATGGCAGGACAAATATTTTCCAAAGTAACCAGAGACACCAGAATTGTCCACCTGTTTGATAGCACCCCAAATCCCTACTGCACTTTCATGTCATGGTGGTCATGTCTGGAGTCTCTGTTGCTCTTGTTTCTGACTAAATCCTGAGGCCCACAGGAGCAATCCTAGCGCTTCACAATCTGGGTATACATTTGATAACAATATACTATATATTAGCTTCCCACTATAGAGGTCTGATTTGTGTTAGCATCTGGTGTGTTCATTTGATTTTTCTGATGAGCATTCTCCATGTTGCTCAGTCGTGTCTGACTTTTTTGCAACCCCATGGACTGCACCATGCCAGGCTTTCCTGTCCATCACCAATTCCCAGAGCTTGCTCAAACCCATGTCCATTGAGTCGGTGGTGCCATCCAACCATCTCATCCTCTGTCGTCCCATTCTTCTCCCTCCTTCAATCTTTCCCAGCATTAGGGTCTTTTCCAGTGAGTCAGTTCTTCACATCAGGTGGCCAAAGGATTGGAGTTTCAGTTTCAGCATGAGTCCTTCCAATGAATATTCAGGACTGATTTCCTTTACTCCAAAATCACTGCAGATGGTGACTGCTGCCATGAAATTAAAAGATGCTTACTCCTTGGAAGGAAAGTTATGACCAACCTAGACAGCATATTAAAAAGCAGACATTACTTTGCCAACGAAGGTCCGTCTAGACAATGCTATGGTTTTTCCAGTTGTCATGTATGGATGTGAGAGTTGAACTGTAAAGAAAGCTTATAACCAAAGAATTGATGCTTTTGAACTGTGGTGTTGGAGGAGACTCTTGAGAGTCCCTTGGACTGCAAGGAGATCCAACCAGTCCATCCTAAAGGAGATCATTCCTGGGTGTTCATTGGAAGGACTGATGTTGAAGCTGAAACTCTGGTGCTTTGGCCACCTGATGTGAAGAGCTCAGGTGAAAAGCTGAGAGCTCATTTGAAAAGACCCTGATACTGGGAATGATTGAGGGCAGGAGGAGAAGGGGATGACAGAGGATGAGATGGTTGGATGGCATCACCGAGTCAATGGACATAAGTTTGGGTAAACTCCGGGAGTTGGTGATGGACAGGGAGGCCCGGCATGCTGCAGTCCATGGGGTTGTGAAGAGTTGGGCACTGAGCGACTGAACTGAACTGGTTGGATCTCCTTGCAGTCCAAGCGTCTCTCAAGAGTCTTCTCCAACACCACAGTTCAAAAGCATCAATTCTTCGGCGCTCAGCTTTCTTTATAGTTCAATTCTCACATCCATACATGACTACTGAACGTTTCTGTGTTGCGTTATAGAATACACTCCCTGAAAACATAGGAGTGCCTCCTTTAAGAGGATGCAACGCTTTGCCTAATCCTCAAACTGAAAGAAACCTTTTCTACGCGGTGTTAGCTAGGTAGCTCCACTTGTGACCTGGAGGTGGCGCCAATGCCCCACTTCATCGTTGGTGCTGTGGGAACTACATTACCCAGGAGCCTCGGCAGCTCTGGGCCAATGAAGCCCCAAGAAAGAGGAGTTTCCGTTCACAGGGACGATGCCTGGGCGGGACTTCCTATTCTCGTTTTGGGCGGACATATTGTTTGCTTTCGGATTAGTCCGCCAGGTCCGTCTCCAGAAGGCTACGTCACACACGAGGTGACGCGCTGCGGAAAACGTGAGCGGCGTTGTTGCTGTAGAGAGAGGCGGACTTGAGGATTGGTAGTGGCAGTGCTCGGGTGACCGGGCCGCCGGAGCCCGCGACCTAGCACCTGTCGCTCTGTAGCTGCTCGTCTTCCCCAGTCCTCGGGTGCCGATGGCCGCCGCCGTGCTGACGGACCCGGCGCAGGTGGGTGCTGCGCCACCGCGTCCTCCCCCGACCTCCGTCTCTGAATCCTGAAGCCTCGAAAGAAGGAAGCCTCAGAGCCCCAGCTCTGGGCCCTGTGTTCCGACTGTGGGGGCGCTCTTGGGCGGACATTTCTGACAGCCCGCGTGATGGGATGACAGGACTTTACAGAAGGTGGGGCCGGAATGTGCAGAGCATTTGGGAAACCTGGAGTCTGTCTTTGGTGTCTGAAAAGATCAGAGGGTCTGAGCAGCTGTGCCTTCATTCTGAAGGTGATGGGGGCACGGAAGGTTCTAAACAAAGAGACCACCAAAGATGGTTTAAAATGTAGACTGTCCAGATGTGAACAGACTTGACATGAGAGTGCGGACAGTGGAGCCCAGCAATGTTGAGGGATAGTGCAAGGCCACGCAGTTGTTAGATGGCCCTGAGGACTGCGGCACACAGGGCAGACTGTCAGCCCCAGGTCCTTGTGGCAGAGCAGCAGCAGGAGAGAGGCCTGAGGCTCTCTTGGGGCTCTTTCGTGGTTGCTTCTTTCTCACAGTCTCCCTGTACCTACAGGTTCTCCGACCTCAGAATTAATTATGGGATTTATACAGGTGAGACAGGATGTCCAGTCTCTTATCGATTCCACCTTCACCCTCACCCATCAGGGTTCCAGGATTGTGATGTCATAGAACACTTTACCTTGTACTCTCCCAGCTCTTGAGTCTGAAGACCCCTGAGAAACACCAAGCTCAGAGTTTTCTCAGTCCAGTTCAGGGGTTATATGGCAGCGCTCTGACTCCTGGTGGCCATTGGAATAAGGTGTGGCAGTTTTTCCAGGCACAGGAACCAGCATACCTGATGGTGAGATTGAATTGGGAGTTTAAAAAAAAACTACAGATCTTTACCAAGTCTGGTAGCAGGAGTCAGGCCTGAAATGGCCAACTGAGCAGCTAGGCCTCTGTTCTGAGGGTGCTGTAGCCATGGCAGATGTGGAGCAGAGGAGGGAGGTGATCTGATCTGATCTCGGTATTCACAGCTTCCCTGTAGATTCCACGTTTGATCCCTGGGTTCGGAAGATCCCTTGGAGAAGGAAATGGCAATCCACTCTTGCTTGGGAAATCCCATGGACAGAGGAGCCTGGCGGGCTACAATCCATGCGGTCGTAAAGAGTTGGGCACACCTTAGTGACTGTACAGCAAGAACGACAATTCTGAATTTCAAGTGGAGAACAGGCTGTGTGGTGAGGGTTGAGGACATTAGGATAGAGGTGAGGAGAAAGACTGGGGAGAAGGCTGCTTCTGTATTCCAGGCAAGTTGTAATAATGGTTGGGGCAGAGGGGTCTCTGTGTAGATGGAAGCATTTGGGTCAGATTTTCTGTGTAGGAAAGAGACAGCCCCAAGGTGTTAGGCCATATCAGTCAGAAGGGTAGAAGCTCCATCAGCTGAGGTGGGCAAGTTAGTGGTAGAAGTAACTCTGCCTATGGGTATCAGTAGTTTATTTGTGGCCATGTGGAGAGTCTGAGATGTGCCAGAGAACCCTTGGGGTATCCAGTGAGCTGCTGGACACAGGGCTGAAGTTATATGGAGGGGTTCAGGAGAAAGACATCCAAAAAGTAGAAGATGGCATGTATATAGGTTGACAAGGGAGAAACTACAGCAACAGAACAGTACCCTCCTGCCGTGTCCAGCACAACTGGTGAGAAAGACCTGATACGGCAAGCATGTAAGGAAAAAACAGACACATATAATTTGGCAAGTGGGCAGTCAGGGGACCCTCCTGCCCTCCATGACAGGAAGACAAAATGGCTCCTTTCAGCCCACACTTTTATTGGCAGAAGTCACATGAGATCATTAGAGAATAACTATACTGGGGAGTTTGATCAGTGCACCGTAAAGGGGGAGTAAAGTTATGGCTCTGCTCTTGGTTAGGAACATCTTGGTTTGTTCCATGGGGATGGACTCGGGCAGGCAGTGAAGCAGAGCAGAGAGCACTTCCCACCCTAAGAATGTCCGTTTGGCATACTTTCTAGGACAGTCAGGAGGGCGCAGTTTGCCGCACCCTGGAGTCATGGGGCAGGTGCTGGTCCCTGCGCCAAGCTGCAACATCCTCCTGCTGTCTCCCGGGAATGGTTGCCTGGTAACGGATACTCAGTAACGGGTGCCTGCAAATGGCTGCGCGCCAGCTCCGCACCTATATTATGCGTCGATTTCCTCAAGGTTTGGTGGCATGTGAACTACATTACCCAGCAGGCTCTGCTCTCTGTGGGGCAGTTAATGAGCTAGGAAGGTGATGGTGGAGGCCAACCACTGGGTAAGGGGCCAGAGCTGTGAGAGAGTGATCCAGAAGAGCAATGTGCATGTGGAAAAGGAGTGTGAATTGATGGCCCTTGGACCCTGGTTTGGGGGACTTAAGGGAAAAAGATGAGCCTAACTTTGGTTGTCTGGTAATCATGATTTTAGCAGCTTTCAAAGAACTGGCTGGAAGGAGGTGGGTGGGAGTGCTGTGCCCCATGCCATCCCCAGAGTTTAGACAGGCCTTTCTGCCCCAACTGCCTGTTGTTGCTGTGGGTGGACACAGTGATCAACGGGACCCTGAGGAGAGAGCAGACATACATGGCACCTGGTGCTGGTGTTTCCTTTGAGTTGAGGAGCTGGGTGGGTAGGAATGGTCAGGGGAGTTCTGTGGGGCAGATGGGATCCTTGGGAAGGAGACTGCTCACAGACTGCTCTCTCCATTGTGGCAGGGAAATGTGACCTTTGAGGATGTGTTCGTGTCCTTCTCCCAGGAGGAGTGGGGGCTCCTTGATGAGGCTCAGAGGCTCCTGTACAGCGAAGTGATGCTGGAGAACTTTGCACTGATGGCCTCACTGGGTAAGGCCCTCTTGTCCCCTGCAGTGCCTGGGCTGGGCTCTCCCCCCTTCCCTGTTTCTTGGATCAGAACCATAGGCAGTTCCACCACCCGCCCTGGAGTAGATGCCGTGGGTGCCAGGTGTGAACTGTGGGCTCTAGCACCTCTGGTTTCTGAGTAGTCCCACTACCTGCTGCCCTGAAGGCTTGCATGGAGGAGTGCAGGCATGATGTGTCCATTTGTTACCCAGTGGATCATGTCCGATTTGTCCTCTCTCAGACTGGGTGCCTCTGTCCAGATCCATGGCATTCTTGTGCCCCAGGTTGTGCCCCCTTCCTCTGGCTGACATTTCTCATAGCCTACCTGTATCAGGAATCCCAAGGACCCAGTACAATCACTCCTTGTTGGGACCACTAGGTTATTCCTGCAGTACAATACTTCAGAGTTATTTTCATGATATTTAGGTTTCTTTGAGGGGTGGGTCACCCACACCTGTGCTGGCCATTTACCTGTCCTGTCTTTTCCTTAGGATACACATCTTCCGTGGCCCATGGGGTTTCCCCACAGGAGCTGGGCAGGGAGCCCTGGGTCTCTGACGGGGCGGACACGACTCCAGCCCTGACCAGAGAGGCTCAGAGTGCAGGTGCCCCTGGTGAGTGGGAGCTGGGGAAAGTGCGATGTCGGGCTGGGTTCTGGTCACTCTCCAGCCTCTCGGTGCCACTGCCCACGCTTCGTCCCTGTCTTTACCGCCCTGTCTGCACACACCGTTTCTGCTGTGACCTTTGGCAGTTCCTCGCCTCTGCCCACGTCTCAGCTGTCCCTCTCCACTGCCGCCTCTGTACTGCTCTCCAACACTGGCTTATATGCTTTGTGTGTCGTGAGAGGTGCACATACTTCAAATAATTGTTAAATACCAGCTAGTCTGTTCGTTTGTAGCTGTTTAGCAAGCACACTGTTCTTCTGCACGTCTCCCCAGCCGCCAAGGCCTTCCTACAATGCATTTGTGGATGATTTCATTGGGGACCCTGGCTCTTTCTGGGCTGTTCCTCAGATCTGTGTCCTCTCCCCATCAAGGCCTCTTCCAGCCTGTGACATTTAGATGCCAAAGACTGTGGAGCAGCCCTTTCCCCAACTTGCACCCTGGCCTTTTGTCCTGATGGCAGACCTCAGTCTTAGTTTTGATAAACACACATTTGTAATAACTGCCCCTTTCCCTCCAGTGTCACTGTGTACTTTACCAGCATTTGTCTGCTTTCAGGTTGTTGGCATGGAATGGAGGAGGATGAGATCCGTTTTGAGCAGAGCATTTCTGTAAAAAGAGTGTCTCAGGGCATGATTCTTAAGACAATTCCATCTTCCCAGAAGGCCCACCCCTGTGAGACATGTGGCCCGATCTTGAGAGATGTTCTGCATGTGGCTAAGCATCAGGAAACACGTCCTGGGCAGAAACCATACCTGTCTGTGGCATGTGGGAAACAGCTGTGGTTCAGTGCAAACTTCACCCTCCACAATCAGCACAGTGGAGAGAAACCCCGCAGAAGGGACATGCACAAGGCCCTTCTTGTGAGCAGCTGCCCTGTCCAGTTGTCGGAGACATCCTTTACCATGGGGGAGGGTTGTGAGGATTTCCCAACCGGCTCAAGCATGTTTCAGCACCATTACCCTCTTAGCAAGTGGAAGCCACAAAGTGACACCCACTGTGCAGAGGTCTTTCACAGTGGACAAAAGCATTATGAGTGCAGCGAATGTGGGAAGGCCTTCAGCCGCAAAGACTCACTTGTTCAGCACCAGAGAGTCCACACTGGAGAGAGGCCTTACAAGTGCAGCGAATGTGGGAAAACCTTTAGCCGCAAACCCATACTTGCACAGCACCAGAGGATCCACACTGGAGAGATGCCTTACGAGTGTGGCATATGTGGGAAAGTTTTTAATCATAGCTCTAATCTCATTGTACACCAGAGAGTCCACACTGGAGCACGGCCTTACAAGTGCAGCGAATGTGGAAAAGCCTACAGTCACAAATCCACACTTGTTCAGCATGAGAGCATCCACACTGGAGAAAGGCCTTATGAGTGCAGCGAATGTGGAAAATACTTCGGCCACAAATACAGACTCATTAAACACTGGAGTGTTCATACTGGGGCACGGCCTTATGAGTGCATTGCATGTGGGAAGTTTTTCAGCCAAAGCTCCGATCTTATTGCCCACCAGAGAGTTCACAATGGTGAGAAGCCGTATGTGTGCAGTGAGTGTGGAAAAGCCTTTAGCCACAAACATGTGCTTATCCAGCACCTTAGAATCCACACTGGAGAAAGGCCGTATAAATGCAGTGAGTGTGGGAAAGCCTTCAGGCAAAGGGCTTCCCTCATCAGACATTGGAAGGTTCATGCTGGAGAAAGGTCTTAGGAGAGCAGGAAATACTCTTATTCAACATAGTGGGTGACACCAGAGAGAGGCTCCGAGAGGAGCCTTCGTGAGTAGCCATAAGCTGGAAGATGAGCCTCTTGTTTGAACTCCCACCCTGAGGAGATTCTTCTGTGTGCCAGCTCTGTGGGAAGCGTTCTGGGGCAGTTTTGCCCTTTGTAACATGCCTTGGCCGCTGCCAAGGCCTCTGCGTGCTTGCCAAAAGTGTGTCACTGCCAGCGTCTGAAAGAAGCCATACATCTGTGCAACAGCAGGGCCCCACACTGTGTGTGTGTCACCCCAGATGCTTTGATGGGCAAGATCTCTGCTCTTCCTGTCTTCCCTAGAGGGCACCATCGGTCGCCTGACCCTATTGATGATCTTCATTCCTTCCTGCTCCCTACTGGTGGAAGCATGGGTGTGACCCAGTTTGGGTCAGAAGAATGCAAGCTCGGTTCTGCTGGTTGCCTGCAGAGATGTCCACTTATCAGACTGTGTTGGTCTCTTGTGACCCTTGTGATGAGTTTGACCAGCCCCCGAGTCACCTGACCTGGAAACTTGTCTGCCTCATATTGTTCTGGTTTTGCAACACATGCCTTAGTTTCTAAGCTATCTTTACTCCTGGGAATTTTGTTCACTCTGTGGGTTGAGTTGAGAACAGAATTGGGCTTGCCAGCCTGAAAGAATGAACAGCTTGTGTGAGCGCCAACTGTTGAGTCTCAGTGGTATTTGCAGAATGGTGAAGAAAGAACAGCTCTTATTCTAGTTTCAGCCTAATTTACATCGCTGCTCAAGGCCTCCTGGGAAAGAATACCAGGCTTTGCAGGCTAATTGTGTGTCCTGTATGCTGAGATGATTTGTGTAACCAAGGTCTCCTTGAGCAAGTTGTCAAGGTCTTGTCAACCTCTGATGTATGTGGGAGCAGCATGAATTGGATCCCTTGTTCCCAGGGAATGTTTCAGAATTTGATTCCCTGGGACCTGCTGGCATTCCTGACATCTATTATTTGGTAAGCTGTTATTTGGTAGGCAGATGTCAGTGTCACCTACAAGGACCAGTTAGGAATCATAATTGATAGACACTGATTAATAGGAAGTTGGGAGACCATAGCCAATTACAGGGAATGTAACTCTTTTAAAGGTTACACAACCACAAACCTGTCCATCACTGTGACTTTGGTATGAGGGTTTATGGAAATTCTCAGGACTCTCGTATTTGTGTCTCATGATCTTACGGTGATGGTTACTGTCTAAAATACAATGAAAATATTCTGCAGTTACACATATCTACAGTGTATAATTTGATGTTTTTATGTGTGTGTTAACTCATGGATTATAGTCTTCCAGGCTTCTGTCCTCCTATCCATGGGATTTTCTAGGCCAGAATACTGGAGTGGGTTGCCATTTCCTTCTCCAGGGGATCTTCATGACCCAGGGATCAAATCCCTGAACCCCCGTTGGATTCTTTACCATTGAGTTTTGATACATGTTTGCACCTTTGAAACCAAGTTTCCTGATTCCTTTTGTATTATCTCTTCCCCTCACTCTTGCTAGGCAACCACTTATCTTGCTTTCTGTCACTATAGATTTGCTTTCATTTCTTAGAATTTTAAATGTGCGAGTATAGAATAACTTCAAATGTATTTTTATGTTTCTGGCCTTTTAAACTCTGCATAATTATTTTGTGATTTATCAATGTTCTGTGTATCAGTTCATTCTTTTTCATCCATAATTTTGCTTTAAGTATTCCACTTTAGAGAAATAGTTCCAAAGCAAGTGACCCAGGAGAGAACTCACAAAGACAAAGCTACAGTTTCTGTTATGACCTTAACCTGGAAGTGATGTGCCACTGTTTCTGACTTATTCTATGGATAACACAGACTAATCCTGGTACACAGTGCAAGGGGACTCACTTTACAACAGTGAGAATGCAACGTGGTAGGTATTTGTGGGAGCATTTCTTGGATACTGGTGACCACAATTATAGTTGTTTTTCTTTTTTTACCTTAGTGTATAGCCTTTTAATGAGGAATTATATTGACTGATTTCAAAAGTTAAACCAACCTTGCATTTCTGAGGTAAACCCCATTTGATCATGAGGCACTACTCTATGCATGGTTCAGTTTTATACGCTGGTTTTCTTTCTTTTTTGTTGAAGATTTTTGTATTTATGCTCATGAGAGCTGTTAGTCTCTCTTTTTTTTTTTTGGTTCTGATATTTTTAATGCTTGGGTTTGGTTGCTATCAGTATAATTTTGGGTTTACAGAATAAGTTGGTTTACTATCTCCTGCTCTTTAATTTTCTGGACAAGTTTGTAAAGAATTTACAGTATTTCTTTTTGTTTGATAGAATTCACCAGTAAAGTATGTAGGCCTGGAGTCTATTTTGTGGAAAAGTTTCTAACTGTAAAATTCCATAGTAAACCTGTGCTGTACTTAGTCACTCTGTCGTGTCCAACTCTCCCTCTGTAGACCACCAGGTTCCTCTGTCCATGGGATTTTCCAGGCAAGAATACTGGAGTGTGTTGGCATTTCCTGCTCCAGAGGATCTTCCAAACCCAGGAACTGAACTTGCTTCTTAGCTGTGTAGTGAAGTCTCTCAGTCATGTCTGACTCTTTGTGACCCCATGGACTGTAGCCTACCAGGCTCCTCTGTCCTTGGGATTTTCTAGGCAAGAGTATTGGAGTGGGTTGCCATTTCCTTCTCCAGGGGATCTTGCCTCTCTTGCGTCTCCTGACTTGGCAGGGAGATTGCTTACCACTAGCGCCACCTGGGAAGCCATAGTGGACCTAGGTTTATAGAACTTACCCTCCCCGCCCCCCCCCCCCGCCCTCCGCTCCACACACACACCTATACACACTGAGTTTTGGTAGTTTGTATCTTTCTCGTGAAGTCTTTTATTTAAGTACTCAAAATTTTCAAGCTATTCTCTTATTCTTTTAGTACCTGTAGAATCCGTAGTGGTGCTTCCTCTCTTATTTTTATACTGATGATGTCTAATTTTTTTTTCTTTATAGTGATTTATCAGCTTTATTGATCTTCTTGACTTCACTGATTTTTCCCTTTTGTTTTCCCTCATTTTGACTCTACTGTTACCTTTTGCTTTTATTATCTTTCATTTCTCTTCTGCTACTTTTTAGCATAGAAGCTGAGTTCCTTCATTTGAAACCTTTGGGTTTTTTGCTAATATAGGTGCTGAATACTAAGAATCACTCTGTAACAACTGCTTTAGTTACCTCCCACAAAACTTAATATGTTGTATTTTCATTTAAATTATTTTTAAACCTTTTCCAGTTTTGTTTTAAATTTCTTCTGACACACGGTTCTTTTAGAAGTATGTTATTTGGGCTTTTCTTTTTCGAAATTGATTTCGAATTTAATTCATTATAGTCAAAGTATACACATTATGACTTGAATTATTTACATTTATAGGTATTTGCATTATGGCCCAGAATATGGGTTATCCTGTGTTTCACGTTAACTTGAAATAAATGTATATTGTTTTTTTGTTTGGTGGAGAGTCTACAAATGTCATCTCAAGTTAATGTAACTAATAATGTCTAAGTTTTCTGTATCCTTACTGATGGGATGGGCACTGCTCTGTCAATTATTTGAATGGGGTTGTTGACATCTCTGACTCTAAAAGTGGATTTTCCTATTTTTCTGTTTAGTTCTATCATGTTTTTCTTTGTGCTGTTTATTTTTATTCTATTTTTGTTTTTTTATTTGCTTTGTGTCTTTTTATTAGGTGGATAAACATTTCCTATTGTTATGTCCACTTAATGAGTAGACCTCTTTAGCATTAAGAAAAGGCCCTCTTGGGACTTCCCTGGTAGTCCAGTGGTTAAGACTCTGTATAAATACTGCGTGCTAGCTGATGGTGCCACTGGAGCACCATTAGACTCTGTACTCCCAATGCAGGGGCCTGGGTTCAGTCCCTGGTCAGGGAACTAGATCCCCCATGCCACAACTAAAGCCTGGGGTCCTCTTTATCTATAGTGATATTCTTTGACCTAAAATCCACCTTGTCACACACTGTTAACATTGTGCAGTTTTGATTCAGTACTCATTTTGCCTTTTTGAGTGAGTGAAAGTGGCTCAGTCATGCCCGACTCTTTGCAACCCCATGGACTATACAGTCCATGGAATTCTCCAGGCCAGAATAGTGGAGTGGATAGCCATTCCCTTCTCCACGGGATCTTCCCAACCCAGAGATTGAACCCAGCTCTTCCACATTGCAGGCAGATTCTTTACCAGCTGAGCCACAAGGGAAGTCCTTTGCCTTTTTGAGTACTGAAAATATCTGCTTTTCAGTAGATATTCTTTATATATTTTTAAGGTTTTTTTAATGTGGACTGTTTTCTGAAAGTCTTTTTTGATTTGTTACAATGTTGTTTCTGTTGTATGTTGTTGTTGTTTTTTCTTTTTTTTTTTTTTTTTTACCATGAGGCATGTGGGATCTTAGCTCCCTGACTGGGGATCAAACCTGCACCCCCTTCATTGGAGGGCGAAGTCTAAACCACTGGACTACCAGGGAAGTCCCAGAGATATTCTCAATATTTTATATGTTTAAGTTCCTTAGAAAGAGTATGATCTTTTGGGATCTTGATTCCAAACATTTTTAGGTGGAATTATTGCAACATTCATTTTAAGGCTATTTTCTCAGCCTCTGCTGAGACACAAGTCATTCTATATTTTCTGCCTTATGCTTCCTAAGCTTTCTGACTTAAACTGGTTGGAATGGTGCTATTCTGTTCTCTACATTAGCCTTGGAAATTATTTAATTGAATCCTTTTGGATGTTTCTTACCCAACCTCTGGTCCTTCCCTACCTATATATGCAGATTTGTACTGAGCTGAATACTTGAAGATGGCCCTCTGTATGTGTCTCTCTTGTCCTGTGCTCTATTGGACTCCAAACACCTTAGCAGGCCCAGATTGTAAGTTCTTTCTCATATCAGGATGATTTTGGGGGTCTCCCTGGTCTCAGCATTTTT